GTCTTAACTTCTTTTATGTCTAATTTTGGTTTCAGAGGTTTAACTATATTATCAACTATGTCCCAAATATTTGAATGGTGGACAGAGCTGTGGTTTGTCAGGAGCTATACTTAACCCTTCCTTGGCTAGGCATCTTTCTAAGTCTCTGAGGGCCTACTGTAATAGTGCAAATGAGGGATGAGCAATTAAAAGATCATCCATATAATGAAAACATTTCATTTGTGGCCATTTTTATAGAAGAGTGTAAGAGCTGCATGGACATAGGCCTGACATATGGTGGGACTGTTTTTCATACCTTGAGGTAATGCTTTCCACTGATATTGTTGAGCTGGTTTTTCATTATTAATGGATGCAAAGTAAAGGCAAATTTTTCCTTATCATTGTTATGTAATGGGATAGTGAAAAAGCAATCTTTTAAATCTATAATTATAATTGCAAATCCTGCAGGAATCATGGCAGGAGAAGGGAATGGCTGGTTATAAAGCTCCCATGGCTTGCATGGCTTTATTAATACCTCAAAGGTCATGTATTAATGTATACTTTCCTTTGGCCTGATTTTCTATTACAAAATTAGGACTATTCCATGGACTATTAGAAGGCTCCACATGTCCAGCTTGTTCTTGTTGTTGTACCAAAATATGAGCCTGTTGGAATTTTTTCCCCAAAAGTGGCCACTGATCAACCCATACAGGCTCACTCATCAACCATTTAAGTGGTATAGCTGTGGGCCGGGACATCATCTCAGTGGCCCCTAGGAGGGGGGTGGTTACAGTAACCAAGGCCTCATGACTATCCTATCTTGTTGAACCTGGAAAAGAGCCTCCTCCCAAGGTTGAGCTTTGTGCTTGGTGAGAGTCTTGTGCAATTGTTGCATTATGTCTCTCCCCCATAAGCTCATTTATACTCCTGTAATTTTATGAAAGGTTGAAAAGTCCCTGAATTGCCTTCTTCATCCTCCCATTGGAGTACCTCTGCACTAACTTTGGCTAATTGTGGTCCCCCTACTCCTGGTACTATGGTTCCTCTTTTTGTTTCCCAATATTTAGGCCATAATGATTGAGGGATAACACTCTGAACTGCTCCTGTGTCTAGAAGACCTCGAAAAACTATTCAGGTTGAGTCCAATATATTTGAGGAGAGGTCTCAGATGGTAAAGGCAAAAATATTGCAATCTTGGCATCCTTCTCTAATCCCAACCATTGCCTAGAGCTAGAAACATAGACTATTGTTGGAGACTTGGATTGCAACATAGTAGAATAAGGATGCATAGTTAGTCCTTGAAGAAATTTTTCAGTCCCCATGACTATTCCTGTTAATTCTTTTACAGAGTTATAGAAATGACATGTTACCGGGACTGGTATATTACCTGAGAGATGGTTAATGCCTCTAAGACCAGGAGATTAAATCCTGAACTCGGGAAATTTTCCCACTGGATACAGGAAGTTGTTCCTCCTTTGTTGGGGGCTGAAGGTTGCCCACAGTTCTGTTTCACCCATCAGAATGATATTTGGATTTACAATCTTTAGTCCAATGAGAGCCTTTATTGCATCGTGGGCACATTTTAGAAGGTTTTCCTCCTGGTGGGACATGCATGGGGCCCTGGTAACCTTTGCCCTCAAGTCAGTCCCTTTCCAGTGGCCTTTTTGTCCACATCCAAAGCATGTAATGTGGGAAACAGTAGGGCTCCCATTTGTTAGGGCAACCACAAGACTGGTGGCCATATATGTTTGGGTGACAATATCCTGGGTAGGAGAAACCCAAGTGGAAAGATCTCCATTCTTTACTGGTCTGATAGCTTGTTTACATTCTTTGGTTGCCCCCCTCATATGCAATTTGGCAAACCAAGAACCTTTGTGCATCTGCATGTTGAATTTTGTGGCTGATAGCACATTTTACACGGGCCAAGAATTCAGCCCACGGCTCATTGGCCTTTTGTTTTAGTTGCAAGAAACTTTCAGTTGATTCTCTGCCAGAGTCAGGGAGGCTACTCCAAGCTCTCTTGGCACAAATTCTTACCTGATCAAAATATTGGGGTGTGCCTTGCATCTGTTGAAGGGCACCAGCAAATGGACCAACCCCCTGCAGTTGGTCCTAGTTAAAGGAACCCCTGTATTCCTATATTTTTGTGCCTGTTCATCACATCCATCATGATATTTTTCTTTCCATATGAGGAAATCACCAGGGCTAATGCAAGCTTGGGCTCAATGCTTGGAGTCCGATGGTGTACAAATTTCTCGACTCAGATTTTCCAATAGAGTAAGAGTGTAGGGACCATTAGTCCCATTCTCCCTGACTGAATCTCTAAATCTTCTAACTATCTCAAGAGAAATGGCTCATGCTGTCATTGTCCCTGAGGCCCCAGGATGACTGGAAGGGCCAGAGGGTTCTCTGAAGATGAAAGAGGAAAGGTGGAGGAGAAGGGTCATTATTCCCATCCTCCAATAAGAATTGCCTGAAAGTTGTTTCTAGGGAAACTTCTTCATTTTCCTCTCTCCTTTTTGTCCTTGCCTTACGTATGACACCGGTCTAAGGATCAACCTGAAATGGGGCCGGTGATGGGTAAAGGTCAGCATAAGGTGGTGCACAATCTTCCATATTGGAAAACTGAAATTTTACAAGTTTTTGTGGGGGAGGCTTTTCCTCCTCTTTATTGTCCTTCTTATTATCTTTCCTATCGTCTTCCTTATTGTGCTCTGAAAGACTTTATTCATGAGCCTCTTTAGAATGATCTGCTAGAGGTCCCAAGCAATAATGAATAGAGGACCACATGCCAAAAAAATGAATAGCAGTATTTTTCCTTCTTTGGTGAGCTCTTTTTACATTTTCTCATCTGCTTCCAGCTATCAGGATCCAAAGTTACATGCTCAGGAAACCAAGGATTAAATAGGATATCTGTCTCTATAAAATCTCAATTTGTCCCTGGGTGTAAGACACACCCTTACTTTTTAGCAAACAGTGCAGTAGGTGTAAGAAATGCCCATGTTCTGAACTCAGTGAGTTCCCCATTCCATCCCCCAACTTATGATTCATGATACCTTTTGTTGGGGCTCCACAGCGAACCTGTCCCTCCTTGAATTATACTGCCAAGATGTTCAGAGCTGATCTGAGTCATGACTCCACTTGCCACAGTCCAGCTGCTGTGGGGGCTCCAGCTCTGGCCTTAGGTGCTTGAGTGGTGAATAACGACACGAACTCAGGTTGTGCTGGGCAGCAGTGGTGTAGTTTATTTTCTGAAGAGTGTATTTAAGCAGTGCAGCAAAACAGGAAGGAGTACGTGGGAGTCGCCAGGTTTCCTTTGATTTCTGTACTGGGATTGGCTGTCACATTGCTATGGCTACGAGCCCAAGTATGGAACATCATGTTCTTGGGACTGGGTCTTCCTGGTCCCATGCAGAGAGGGAACAGGGGAGTTCAGCAACTGTCCTCTTGGATGGTTGCAATCTCTGTTAGGGCTGTTGCACAAAAGCTACAGTGACTCCACTCCTTTCCAAGAGGCTTTGGGGGTCCAGAGGGTTTTCCACAGAGAGATCTGGTGTGTGAAATTCTCATCCATCAAGCCAAGTACCTGATCCCAATTTCCTGAAGTGGGCTATTAAGGCAGGCTAAGATAGGAAGAGACTGAGACTTTGATAATATAACATTAAATTTCACAGTAAACATTTTTTTCTCTCTCCATGAAACTCTCAATTGCAAGAAAAAAAATTAGTGGCACTGGAGTTTGAACTCAGGGCTTTATGTTTGCTAGGCCAATGCTCTTACCACGTGAACCACCCCACCATTCCTTTTATACAGTGGTTTTTTCAAGATAGGGTCCCCAGAACTATTTGTCCAGAACTTTCTTTGAAGCCAGATCCTCTGGATCTCTGCCTCCTGGGTAGTCAGAATTACAGGTATGAGTCATCAGCACCCCTGCCTACAAAATAATTTTTAATAGGTATCAAGGCTCCCTTTGATTACAAATATGCACAGATTGTTCATGCCTGAGCCTGAGCCACCACCCCAGACCTGGAGACCATGCTAATCCCTCCTCATGTATCATTGGCCATCAGAAACTGGCCAAGTCTTTCCCCTCCCACAGGTTACCAAGTGCTTCAAAGTCTTTGCCACATGCCAGTGACTCACACCTGTTATCCTTGCTGCTCAGGAGGAAGAGATCAGGAGGATATGGTTAGTTCATGGGAGCAAATCTCTGAAATATCCAACAGAGGAAAGGGCTGATGGAATGACTCCAGTGGTTAGGTCATCTGCCCTGCAAGCATGAGGTTTTGAGTTCAAACTTTATTACTGCCCCCCCAGCTCCAAAAGTCTGGAAACACAAAGCCCACCCTAATTGTCCCCTGCTCACTACTATTCATCTGCCTTTGGCAGAGATCACAGCACACACTGGGGTTCCCTCCCTCACATATGATAAAATTCTTTAATACATCCATGTGTTCTCCCTGGAATCTTTCACAACTATGGTTATCTTATGACCAGGGAACATGCAATATTGCAAAACCAGGACTCTCCTCCTAGTCCAGTGAGTTCTCCCCTAACCTGGCCTAGGAACCACTCCTTCTCTGAGATCATAGTCTTTCCATTGGGAAAATGAGCATGCAAGTGTCTCAGGATATTCCTGGTCCCAGCTCCCAGTGGAAGAAGCAGTGTCCATTCTGAAGAGGAGGATCTACTTAAGTACAGTGAATATCAACACTAGGCTGGGTCAGGACCAAGGAGGAAGCCTGGACTACTGAGGACTGTGGATGGAATCTGGTATTTGGTCCTGCTATTATGCCAAGTAGGGAAGCACTTATCCTGTAACTCATATCTCAGGGTATGGGGCCCAGATCTTTAACCAATTAAAAGGACTGATGAGAAGAAACTGTAAGAACTGATGAATCAGGGACTTTACAAGTTAGTTAACACAGGAAATGCCTTCCTGGCTCTGCTATTTTCTGAATCATGCTGTGTTGGCCGAGAGCAATTCTGCATGACTCAGTCTCTCCTATTTTGACCTGTAGGTGGCACCAGGAGAGTGGGAAGAACTCTAAACACCACAGAAGCTGAAATGGTGAGTTTGTGACTGGTGTCCTCAGCCCTGGGAAGATCAGAAGATTACAACTATCCAGAAATGATTGCTTTAGATCACAGGCCTCCCCTCTTCACCTCTGGAGACTGTGAGCATTGCTGCAGTTTTGGTCTACAGTGAACTCTACAGTGAATTCTAGCAACTTGCCCTCTATGTGCAGGCAACTTGCCCCAGGCCCAGAGCCCTCTCAGGGCACTCTACACCTGACCCCACTACTTCTCAACAGACAGTAGGCAAAGGTTGTGGGTTACTGCATGGGAGGAGCTGTGGTCTTTAAAGTTCTCACTTTCTCTAATATCCACAGGGGAGAGCTGATTGCCCTGAATTGCCTAAATATTTGAAAATGGGCTCTCAAATTGAGGGCCCCTATACCTTAACTTTTAGGGATATTATAAATCCCTAAATTTACATCTATCTTTGCATTGCCCAACTCATGGGAAAGGCATTGCAAATGCATTTGAAGTTCATGAAGAACGTGAACTATTTCAAACTACTAAGGGTTTGAAATTTTTGTCCTCTCTGACATAAATTTTGTTCTCGTGTGTGTCTATACCATATGTTCAAAAACTAATTACAGATGTAGGCAGTACCTGACCTTATGGAAAGAGGATTTGCTGTAGCAGTTTTCATATACTTTGAAATACTTAAATGTCTGTTGAGATGCATCTGTTACTTAAAAATGTATATTTTAATCTCTATTGGAGATTTAACCTCTCCTGGAGGTTTTCCAACTACGCCTTTGCTGTTGATTTCCTGTTGTATTGCAACATGGTCTGCAATCCTACTTTGGTCCTCTGCCTCCTACCAAATTGCTAATTTTGAATATCAATCCACTTCAGTATATTTGCCACTCTTTTTCACTTCTTTTCTGTCAAGAGTTCTCAATGGGACACCATGTAGGGAATTCTGGGTGTATGTAGTTGTGTTTGATAAACCCCATTCAGGCTCTGTTTACTTTAGTCTAACGAGTGTGCTACCTCTCTAGGTCTTTAGGAAGGTGACTGGTTACCAGAGAGCAAACATAAAGTATGGCCTATTATCTTTTGAACCAATGCCCAGAAGTTGTAGGGAGTGTACTAAGAATGAGTGGTGTCCGAACTGAATTGTATCAAACCCAGTTGGTTTTTGAAAATTGGTTGTTATTAACAATACCGTGTATTTGTTGTCAGAAGTGATAGCAAAGAAATACAACACTGGTTACAACATTGAGGTTCTTTGTTGAATGTTTGGCAATGTTACCAGAGTGTCCATTCTTGGTCCCTAGTTCTTGTGTGAGATGAACTCACTGAAAATATACAAGTAGAGTGAGAGTGAGGCAAAGTTCGTCAAGGAAATAATATATTTTGGATAGATTTACTAGGTACAAGTTAGGCAGTAACCATGTGGATATACAAAGAAAACCTAACATGGAGGAAGAGATCATAAGGATTCTGAGAACACACTTTGTAATTAAAACTTTCCAACTCACATTGAAGATTGACATACCCTAACAAGGTCCCAAAATGTCACCAGATGATTCTGATTATCCCACTTAATGTTAAGGTGGGTGCATGACAACAGTTCCTGGATCAACAGATATTTTCTTAAAAAATACTCGAGACAGGAACCAGTGGCTCATGCCTGTAATCCTTGCTATTCAAGAGGCAGAGGTCAGGAGGATTGTGCTATCAGCCCAGGCAAATAGTTCATGAGACCCTCTCTCCAAAAATCCTTCACAAAAATAGGGTTGATTGAGTGGCTCAAGTAGATGGCCCTGAGTTCAAGCCCCAGTACTGCCTAAAGAAAGAAAGAAAGAGATACAGAGAGAGAGAGAGAGAGAGAGAGAGAGAGAGAGAGAAAGGAAAGGAAAGGAAAGGAAAGGAGGGAGGGAGGAAGGAAAGGAAGGAAGGAAGGAAGGAAGGAAGGAAGGAAGGAAGGAAGGAAGGAAGGAAGGAAGGAAGAATGGAAGGAAGAATGCTCAAGCCCATAAACCTTATCCCTAATGATGGGAGGACAGAAAATCTTTTGTACATTTTAATTACATAAATTAGTTACACTATCTTTTTCTACTCTCAGCAGAGTTTTTCTTTTAAGAGGGTAATGGAGGATTGCTGCTCTGTAAATTAGCAATAGTTTAAATTTAGTAGGAAGTTTTGATGGTATATGGATTTGTCACCTGAAATTCTATACATGTTTGCTAATTGTGTTTTTTGCCAATACTTGGAATGTTCTAATTTATTACACTTGTCCTTTTAGCATTAAACAGCTTCTTTGTATGCTGTCACATGCCCTGTACTGATGACTTCTGGTGTTGTTTTTCCTACTTGTTTCTTCATGTTATTTAAAACTAGACCTCCCTCTTTCTCTCATGCCCCAACAAACCCCTCCTGCCCATCCTGTTAGGATGAACAAAGGAAGTCAGGTTGTAACTGGACCCATTCCACTTTGCAGATGACTTATGAAAACTCTCCACCCAGCCCTAAAGAAAAAGAGACATCCACCTTAAGCCATGACCCACCCATAAGCCATTATGTCAGGAGGGTCAGGGGTCATTGAGGATTTTCTCATCCAGTGACCTTCTTTGGTCTTCTCCACCCACCTCCTTTATCTACCCTCAGTCTGTAAGCTGCAGTGGGCTTCAGCTTTCTTGCTGGGGTCCCCCTCTGCAGAGCCTCTTCTCCACAATAAACCCTGTGTTGGCATGTGAGTCATCTCCTGCCTAACCATTCCACACTATTCTTTCATTTCTAACATATGGTGTTGAAACCTGGGTCAGTTTTGTAGGTTCAACTCCCAGCTGTCCACTCTCACAACTTGGAAAGCAGTGGAGAGCAGCTTTTTCCAGGTTCACTCTTGGATCCTCAGTAGAGGCTCAAGTCTTCCTCATCCTGGCTGTCTCTCCACCTTTTTATTCACTGCTCTCCCACCCTTTCTTTCTTTCATGGCTCCTCCAAAGGCCATCTCCCCAATTGCTGAACTTCCACCCAACACCCATCTTCAATTTTGGTGAGTTGGTCACCCCATTCAGGTGTCTCTGCAGTCCTAACCTGGACATCCTGCTGTGGACCACAATAAAGATCTATCGGGGGAGAGACTCCCTCCATCCACCAACTGGATGGATTCACCTGCTGTTTTCTGGGGACACCTAGAAAATATCTATGTGCATGCCCAGATAGGTTAGCTGTTGGCAGTGGGGATGCTCCTGGTCTCTGATACGTCTATCCTACCAAGTAGGGCCACTGCAGGGATTACCCACCACCCCTGGATCTCAGTCTATGTCCCACAGGAACTGTCCCAGTATTGGACCTTAAGTCCCATGGAAATTGTCTCAGTTTGGATCCTTGGAACTCTCTCAATTTCCAACACTCTATTTCCAATGCATAAAATGGTTCAAAATCATCCAAGGTCCTTAGGGGCCATCCATTGGCATGTCTCCTCAAAACCTTCAGACTCTGGAGTTCACAAAGACCAGTAACTGAGAATTCCATTTCAAAGTTGAAGATCTGGGAACAATTTTTTTTTAAGTTACTGTAATGAGAAGATAAAGTGCATGCTATATGTGAAAAATAGTTTTTAGACTATGAAGAAAAAATAACAAGTGCATTTTTCTGACAAGGAAAAAAAAAGGCTAATTTTATATTTTAAGATGATTTGGCCTCTATATAAGTTAGACAGTTGTAACCATTGAACCAAACAGGCCAGTTTGTATTTCCAAATTCATCACAATCTCACCAACTGCAAATGCTATGGGACATGTCTGAGGTTTCCCTATATCCTATGTCCTCAGCCCCACTTGTATACAGACTGGAGGGAACAAAGACAGAATTTCAATTCTAGGTCTAAAAATGCCCCATGTATTTCAACTTAAAATCTCAGTTTCCTAGGTTATGGCATTCGCTAACAGGCAAAAGGACAGCCTCCCTGAGTTCTGCTATGGATTCAATAAGGCACTGGGAATTTCTTCACCAGGCCCCTTGCCTAAGATTAACTCTTCAGGAGTTAATTTTTCTACCCTTTCTATGCTTTCTAGCACCAGTTTCAATGGGGATGCAATCCTTTGAACCACAACATTCTGCCATTTTTTTCAGCCTGGCATACAAATTATAATTTAAAAATTTTTACTATGAAAGAGGATCGTGGATTTGTGCATCCAAATCCTTTGTCCTTGCAAGTATATGGGATGCCAACCCTAGACAAAAGGCTAGGATCCCTAAATTTACTTTAACATTTTGCTTAATAACAAAGCTACTGTAGCCCAATGAAAATTACTACTTGAGATTCTTTTAAAAAACAACCTCAAGTTTAAATGTAAAGCCTTCAATATCTTTGAGAGCACTCAGAATTAATGTAATTGTTTTGTATGTCACTGGGTGAATTTTGTGTATGTCTGTTGTATGATTAAACTATTAGATACAAAAATCTGATAGCTATGGCAACAGTCTTATTGGAGACTGAGACTGACTCAAAATGCTTTCCTAGAATTGTCTCTTGTTTTAGCTATCAAGCTGCCTAAAATGAGCACATCCCATATTGGGAGAAGAATTCTTTGGGTGCAGTCCGCAGCATGAGAGCTGGTGCCCACAGCTGCTTGCTGACTAGGGATAGATATAGGAAATTAGTGGTAGAAGTCCAAGGAACAAGGGAGTCCCAGAGAGAACTCCCTGGAAGGTCACTGTACAGTAATATCCTCCATCCGCCCTCTTCCACTCCTGAGATAATGGGGTCTTTCTTTGAGTTTGGGTGGGAGATTTCTAGTAAATGGCTAAAGGTGAATGTTATTCTTTAGGGCTGTTTGTAGAGTTTCCAGTTAGCCACCTGTGATAAGGAAGGGTCCAGTCCTCATGTGCTGCCCTGTACTCACCCCAACAATTAGGATTACAGGCTTGAGCCCCCAGCATCTAACTCACACTATGAGAGTTAATGACCCATCGACCAATTTTCCAGGAATGACCATCTCCCTCTGTATTGACCACAACAAAAGCTTGAGTTCTCAGGACCCCAAG